GTCACCTTGCAATGTTTCGTCTACAAAGGCTACTTTGCAGCGTAATAACTTCAAATCCTTCCACAGTCCATTCAGCAGGAGCTGAGTTATCAGCTTCACACAGATACACTCCAGAGGATGTGAGCAGCTGCTGGAGGGAGATACTCTCCAAAGTCCATCAAACAAAACTGAAATGACTGAAGTAGAGAGGAAAAGCCCTTGCTTGCTTCATTATGGCTGGGAAGTTAAAGCATGGAGAAAAAGAAACAGGAAATCTGGACATCAATAACCAGAAAACACACAATGGTGTTAAATGATTTGTTAATAGCATAAATGTTGTGTATTTATAGAAAAGTTTTAAAGTGGCTTAAAGAGGCCCTATTATACTATTTGTGGTTTTCCCTTCCCTGTAGTGTTATATAGCTTTGTGTGCATGTAAAAGGTCTGCAAAGGTTAAAATCCCTGTGTTCCCTCCTACATCCTCGCCTGTCTGAAACGCCTCCATTGAACTCCTTTGTTCACTTCAGTAACATAATGACATCACTATGTAACACTCTTCTATTGGCTAGCACTCCAACACATTGTAAGTGATAGGGTAAGGGGCGAGACATCTATAAGCAGTTGAGCAATCAAATCAGGGCTGGCCAGCTAACCAATCAGAGCAGACTGGGCTCTGGTTTCAGACAGAGGGTGAAAGGAGGTGCTGCAGCACAGGCAGTATGAGACAAATAAAGAGCTTTCTGAACATCAAAGCATGGAGACGTGTCCCAGAGGAACAACATACAAATATGAACCTGAAAATAAGCAAAATATGTCCTCTTTGAGTGATCTTACATTTGTTTATGAGAAAAGATGATTATCAGTGTTCTGATGCTTCTGAAAATGTTTTTAATTAATACCTTTAGTGTTCTTAATATTGAACGCATCTGAATGCTGTAAAAAAAAAGTGTATTAATAATGTCATCATGACATCAAATTAAGTCATTATATCAAGAACGTTTACAATAATGAAGTCATGACAATTTTGCACATTTTGGCACAATACCATATTCAACAGCAGAGCTCTTCCACTTTTAATTCAGATACAGTGAACATATTTTTCCACAGTAATTTGTAATAGACTGATGGTATTTATTTTGGGAAATGTATATTTCTTGTACGCATTTTTAGATCTTTTTTAATTTGACAGTTTTAAAAAAATAAAATACTGTACCTATACTTTCTTTCTACTACTGTGTTAATGTATTCACTATACACCAAAGCAAATGTGTTGTTTTGAAAACCAACAATTTTGGTCCTGATTCTACTGATCTTGATTTAAAAACATATATATAAAGTGTGTTATTTAATAAATGTTCCAAACTTCCTTCACCCCTACATTCACTTCACGTGCACAAACTCAACACACACCGAGCAGAAAAAGCTTGAAATGCAAGTGTCAGTGAGTCTTAACAGCAGCTCGTAGCAGAAAGAAAACCATTTCTGAAAAACAGAGGAAATAAAATGTAGCATGTAGCATGCAGCAGTCTCTCTGCTGTATCAGGGTAACCGTGGGGGTCTGTGGACACACAGCTGATCACAGATGTTATCAGGGTGAGTCTCCATAAACACTGCAGAAACCTTCACATGGACAATCAAATGTGACGCTACATTTTCCTTCCTGCTGTGGCTCCAGCTTTAGTTTGGACTTCAGTACATTATGTTAGAGGAGGGGGTGTTGCCCCTAAAGCCCCCTCAGATTAGCTTATAGTAGACCGGACCCTCCCCCAAATCCCCCTTCACCCCAACCGAGAGACAGCAAGGGTGAAGAGGTTCAGCATCCTCTTCCTCACCCTTTTACCTCCTCTGTTTCCTCAACAAACCTCCATTTGCAGCAGGGAGATTTATGCACAATGTTTTATCACGATAAAAAAAGTTTCTAAATAGCAGAATTATTTATACTTATTTATGTTTGCACCCTTAACATTTACTATTACTTACGTTTCAATATACTGTAGGCACTATTATTATTATAGTTATTGTTTTATTAAAATGTATTTTTTATTTTATTTAAACTAAATACATTTAATAATGTTTTTACCTTTACACACAATTATTATAATTGTTCTATATTATTTTTACATTAATGATTTATTTAAAGAAATTATTATTATTTTATAAGCATTTTTTGTTTTGTTATTCAATAATACACATAAACGTGTGCTATATTTATTTTCCTCAAAACACTATTTTAAGTCCCAGTAACTCAGGGGTGCCCAACCTTTTTTGAACCGAGAGCTACTTTTAAAGTTGCCAGTCTGCCGAGATCTACCAGTCCAAATAGAGAGGCGTGGCCATTACTGACAGCCTACTACCAGGTAAATACACACTACTTGTATAAAACTGACCTTTCTACGATGAATACTTCATAAAATACTGCAGATCCTTTATCTTACCTCTTTCTAATCTACACACACACAAGTAGTTAACTAAAGTTACACAAGTGTTGTTGATACAGAGTTGGAGTTTATTCACACGTCACACACTACAGTGGGTCATGTTTTCAAGAAACATTGAAGTGCTGCCACATATGACACAGGAAAAAAGGAAAAGACGCTGAACCCTTTATTTGCCATTATATAAAAATAGTGTTGCTACAAAAGTATAAATGAGGCTTACTAATAAGACAACTCAGATCTGAAGCTACACAGGAATCTGCTGCCAAAGTGCAATAAAAAAGACAAAATTAATAGAATCAAACCCTTTTGTTGTTGCATTTTAGTAGATTATAAAAAGAAATGCCTTTAAAATAGGATCCAAGCAACACTAGTTTCTTAACCTGAATTGATAATAGACTAATCAATTTAAACAGAACAGATCTTAATGTTTGCATTCTTATACCATGTTGTACAATAATTATAATGAATAAGTTCAAACAAACTAAAACTTACAGCTGATTAATAACGGTATCTAACTTGAGTTTTTATTATATCAAAAACCTGTTGAAATGCTACCGTTTTTTACTGTCCCCCAAAAGCGTGTCGGCAGCCTCCAGGATTGCTTCTTTCACAACTTCGCCGTCTTTGAAAGACTTCATGTGTTTCGCAAGAACGTGACTGACACGATAAGATGCTATGGTAGCAGCCTTGCTCTTGTTGTTGGGCCCTGGTGAAAATGGACTGCTGTGCATTTAACTGTCCTTTCAGGCCCCTCCCCTTTTGGAGCGTAGGGCAGAATTAGGAGGGAATTCCGTCTCGTAGCGTTTGTGCACTGTTTTGAAATGCCGCTCCTAAATTACCCTTCTTCGATAAAGCCACGCTCGCATTGCAGATGAGACAGATGGACTTTGAATTGGAATAGATACAAAAATAATCATCCTCCCACTCGGAGTGAGAATTATATGTTTTGCTTCTGCCATAATTGCGGTCTTGTGTGTGTGCGGCCTGTCACTCCTGTGTTGACACCGTCTATGGTTGACACGGACAACGTTAGCGAACTAGTGCAGTGCACACTGCCCACTGCTCACCAGCCACGCCCCAACACATGGGGTCACGCCGGCCAATCACAAAGCTTTGATGCGTTCAAGTGCATTATTCTGGCACAGGAAGATTATGGTACAGGACATTAACGATAAAACAGAATATTGTTGTTCTATTTTTAGACACATCTCGCGATCGACTGGGAATCTCCCCGCGATCGACCGGTCGATCGCGATCGACTGGTTGGGCACCCCTGCAGTAACTGTTAGATATTAATATGACTATTATTTGATCCTTATTTGGTTGGTTTCTTCGTACATGTATCATGTAAAGATCTGTATGTCACCATGATTTCTTTGTGAATATATTTTTATTTTGCCTGTTTCTAACACTGTTGTCCCAGTATATTCACTACACTGTGTGAAGTGTGTTTTCTTTTGATTGCAGAGGCAGTAATGTTGAATGTACACTTAATAACCAGCATGGAAGCTGCTGTATCAGAGCAGCTTCACAAGCACAGAGGATCTGAACCTCAACATCACATGTAGAGAGAAACAGCAGCATGAGAACATCCCAGAGGAACATGTGGGACTTCATGGAGGCAGATGTGTGCCGCTGCAGATGAGGATAATGATGGTGGAACTATTCATCTATTATTCAATCTACACATGTTGCACATATTCAGATGATGGACTTCAGTCAAAAGATGTCCTGGTTCCTAGCTAACAAATGTGATGATTTGAAGCTCTTTTTCTCATACATGATGATAAATTAAATATTATATACAATGTTTTTAGCTGCAGAAAATTATTAAAGAGATTAAAACATATATTTTCTTACAATTTGAGGTCAAAACAATACATCCATCGAGTGAAAATGTTAGAAGATAACTGCAGCAGCCCTTATTTTGTGAGTAAGGGCAAATCTATCTAGCTAATCTATTTTTAAAAGAAATCCCGCATCTCAAATGTGACATTTTGTTCAATTTATTTGTTTTATATTGCTAGGAATGTTATATATAAAACAAGAATATATTATAATTGTTTTAGTCAATGCAGGACAATAGTTTAGCAGGTATTGAAAACATACAGCATTGTTTTTGATTCATCACATAATCAATACATTAAATGACCATGATAATACAAAAGTCCTTATTTATCCTGATTAAAACTAATGAGTTGAAGATCATTTTCAGTATGAGTTTGTGTCAGACACTGCAGTGTGTGTCTGCTGATTTATGTGCACTGCGTGACTCCCACACACTGCAAGCCTTTGCATCCACTTTGCAGAATTGAACCTTAGGGATTCATTAGAAAAACACCCTGATTCATAACAGTATCACTAACACTTCTACATGCTAACAACACGTGTACAGTACTGCAACGAGTTATCACACGTCTGTTGTGTTTTGTAGTGAGTTAGTTACACTGTGTGCTGTTTTTCAAAGTCTCCGAAGATTTCTCTGCTGTATATTCTCAGCGTTTTTAGTTGCGCTATGTGTGTGTTAGCTGGTTGTGCTCATGGCTGGATGAAATTGATAGATGTAGACATTAAAGCACTCACCAGTCAGGGTGATGTACAGCAGGCCTGGCATGTCTGCTGCAGTGCTGCTCCTCCTCGGCTCAGGACAGTCCTCAGATTCAGCTGCAGATGCTCTCTGGATACAAGAGCAGCAAAAACGCCGAGCTCATGGCCGTGTGCGCGAGATCACTGACCGCCTAATGTCCGTGCAGACAGACAGAGAGGCAGACAGGCAGGCAGGTAGACAGACGGGCTGGGTGACTTGGCTGTGTGTGGGGCCGAGCTGCGGTCAGGTCTGCTCTGCTGCACCACCGTCGCTGGAAATAACCACCAGGCAGCAGCTGTACTTCCTCCAGCGGCCGCTAGATGTCACTGCAGCTGCGACTGACGGATGCGTTCAGGTGCTCCTCGGAAAGTAGTTATACTGTACTTTAAACCAAAACAATTACAGAAAATTGTTATTTGGGTAAAAGAGTAATGGAACTGATAACAAATAAACCAAGGGAAATTAAAAATATATATATATTTAGAGAAAATTGTGTTTCACAATTAAATACGACTGATAACACCAATAAATAATTATTTCGAGATTTCTGCCAGTACAAATATATTTTTTAAATTGCCTAATAGAATTCATTATAGTGAGAAACTTTCAAAATTACGTAGTATCACGAAAATACCAAGAAACCTACCTTTAATATATCAAGTCATTTTGAGAAAGTTTTTCATTGTGTTTTGATACAAAATATAATTTAAAGAAATGTACAAGAGCCTTGGAATAATTGAAAGAAATGTAGAGGCTTGGAATACAAATCAAGCTACCCAGCACTATACAATGAAAGTAATATTAATGGCAATAATTATAACTCAATAATATAACCATTATTCTGAAATCGTTCATTCTTCCTAATGCAGGACCTCGACTCGTAACGGAGTATTTCTAGATACTGGTGTTACTACTTTTACTTTAACCTTCGGGCAGATTTTAAGGAATTTCATATTTTATTATCACCTTCTTCCAAATGATATCAGAGCAATTGGATTAAATATGCTCAGCCCTTTAGTAATTCCAGTGTAAAATATCCTTTAACAAGTAAAACCTCTGTAAAATGAAGCAACAATAATGTTTTTCCAGGTTGGAAATTTAGACACATTTTCTGCACATCCTGCATTCAAGTTTTCTAATCAGTGGAGACATTTATCCGTTTAATATGCTGCATGCAGTCAGTAAGTTCACCCAGTCAGCAGAAATTAAAGGCAAAACACTGCAGAGGGATCAATTCAAGCATCCTTCATTAATGAGACAGTGACAAAACAAATGTTTGACAAATATTTAATATCAAATCGACCTACAATCCAACATTTATTTTAAGCACTTTGTGTGATATTTCATTAATTTTCCAACACTGCTTCATTCACTTCACATGAACAAAGTGGACACACGCCGAGCAGAAAAAGCTTGAAATGCAAGTGTCAGTGAGTCTTAACAGCAGCTCGTAACAGAGAGGAATCAAGTGAAACCACTCATCCTGTTTCTTGCATAACACGGACGTAAACATGTACATTTATTTACAATCGGCCCCACCTGAGGGCGGCTAAAGAGACGGGAAGATGGAACATGCAGGAGGAAGAGTGATGTCATCGCTGATTGTTTGTTCATTTCGATGTATATACATGTTTTTCCAGTATAACATTTTCATTTGGGTTGTTTTACAAACATAAGCTTTTAGATTTCATTCAAACTCTTCATCTGGTGAAGTGACTTTCTGTAAGTACATCCCCTCTTCCTCAATGCTACTTTAGGATTTAAACAGGTAAGCACAACATTTAAAGCTCCAAAAGATCATGTTTTTGCTGCATTTCACCACCTTATCTTCTACCGCCTGCTTCCTCCAGCGGAACAATCATTCGTTCAGACATAACAAGTCTAACCCTGGAGTCCAAAAATGTTTCTTCCCAATGACCCATTTTGGGCCATGCCATAAGAGTTCCTGAAGCACTATGAAGAGAGGAGGAGTCTGTGAGGGCTCCTAGAACTGCTGCAGGATCAGTTTCTTCTTCCCGTCGTGGCTGAACTTGTTGGAGCGGAAGATGTCGCTGTCATAGAACGACGACAGGTTGTGGATGTTGATCTGTCTCGCCTGGAGGAGGAGGAAGTGAAGGCGGGTGATTAGAGCTTGGATTTATCTTTCAATAAGGACAATGGGAAATAATCTTTGTTTTGCAAGTTGGCTATGAAGTCCCAAGATGATCCAACTAATCTATATCAGAATTAGGCATGTGACAAGAACCGTTACTATGGTAACAAGTAGATGCCAAAATGTGTAAAACATAGCGTAGGAAACAGTCAGGGCTTGAGAGCACCGGCACTCTAGGGACAATAGAAAATGTGTTTGTGACACAGGGAAGTCACCACAAACACATCCACCTACATTGTGTATCCATGTGGAAAACAGCAGGAGGAGACGCAATGCTTGTTGCTGGTGACACGAGGTAACAGCATTTTTTTGAATGGTGTGTTAAAGGGTAAAGGTAATTATAACGATGATGTGGTGATGATATTTTAACTTTCAAGATTTAAGTTTGGTTAGAAACCACATTTATTTGAAATGGTTTTAGAATGATGTTAAACTTCCTAACAAACAGAATACAAAGGGTTAAAAGGGAGAGTTGTTGAAGTATATGGGATTTATTTGTCTGTTTTTACCATAGTTCAGAATTTGATCCAAATATTTTACTACTATTTGTTTTTATGACTTCATTTCTATGACATCCTTATTTTGGTTGATCTAAAAAAACAAACTGCTTATGTATTTAAGGCTTACGAAAAAGCTTGTTTCTTTATACTCTGAGTTTGTATTTTGAACAAAGCGCATGTACGGACAAAATAAATCAATACAAAAAATACATATTCAATGTATTAATTTAGGAGGAAAATCCAATTCTTATCCTTTCTTTTATTTTCTATCTTTTACTATGAAAACCCCCGTTACCTTATCGTGCAGGTCTTTCTCTGCCACCTCGATGGTGTCGTTCTGGACTCCGTATCTGTTCCTCTGGTAGGCCACCTGCTCCGCCATCAGCTGTTTGAGGATGAAGAGCAGCAGCTCGTTGTTGTCCCTGCGGAAGGCCAGGTACCGAGAAAACGTCTGGACGGAAACACAGAAGACGCCCACGTTAGAGAACTCCACACTAGGCGCAGGTACATTACTCTGTGCTCGTGTTTAAACCGCCACTCTCACCTTCCTCATGCTCCTCATGACGCTGAACTTCTGCGTGTCGATGAAGCTCTCCAGCATCACCCTGATGGCCATGTTCACGTCGTCCTCCAGCACGTAGTCCCTCAGGTGCATCTTGGCGTGAGCCTCGGCCATGCGGATCATGGACTCGATGTGACGCACGGTGATGGGGATGCTGCCCGTCGCCTGTTAACCAGAGGGAGGTTTCATTATTACAATCCAGAGTGCCATTAAAGCCTTTTAGTGCAAAAGACTACAGTGGTTTCATTAAACTAATCAGGCAGAAATGTGCAAATCATCATTCATATCTAACAAATACTATTGTGAAGATTTAAATGTCCATTCTAAAATAGAGCACACATCCCAAAGTATTCTGAGGAAGTGCAATATTATACACACAACTCTTATTATTACACCTTCTTCTACTTTTGTACATTTGTAAGTGACATGTTCTGATCTTGTTGTATCGTCAGTGAAAGGCTGTAGAGTTGGGAGCCCTCACCATGGACTCTTTGCGCAGGTCGCTGTAGATGCGAGCCACTTTGTCCTGATCCATCTGGTTCAGTTTGGGATGAATCTGCAGACACAATTAACCCATTAACATAAACCTTTAGGGCACAGTTGTAGCAACACTTCTAGCCACTATTTAACTCAATACCTGGACACAAATACATTTCATTGTATATTTAACAACATTTAAGAGATTTGTGGTCTCTAAACTTGAAGCAGCGGCCAAATATCTGCTTTAAAAAAGACTGAAAGGGAAACTCAAATACTGGACTCCTATTTGAAGTAAGCAGGCACTAAAGGGGGTTTTCCCAAGCTTTAATAGCGTAGCTACCGAAGCACAAACATGTGTTAGGGAAGATGGAGGTGTTTGATCGTACCCGCTCCTTGGCGTAGATGATGTACTTCCTCAGGAGCACCTGGGGAATGGGCGGCACGTCGGACGTGTTGGGCAGAATCATTTCCTCCAAGGCCACGCCCGATTCTTTGTTGCTCGGGTGATGCTTGATGTGGGAGCCAACCACGAAACGTGCCAACATCTCATCCTGGTTTAGAGAAGAGTGTCTGAGACTTGAGCCACTGGTGGTCTTCAATAAAAAACATGTGTCTAACGTCTTGTCAGTTGGATCCTTTCCCTCAGGACCCTTTTACAGGGGGCCAGATGATCAGGAATAAAGCATATTCACATTCTCATCTGTTTTCTCACGATGCTGCCTCGAAAGTTTCTTCAGCTTGTCTTTGTATGTTTGATCTTTGTTTAAATTGTTTTGCAACCTTCTGGGATCATAAGTACACAAAATGCTAAATGTTAATCACAATGGTCGAGTCAGTTTCAGATACCTAATGAGGAAATGTTACTCAAGCTACTTATCAATTCCTTTTATATTGCAACACATGAAACACTAAAGGGATTTGACAGTGAAGGGTGACGTACTGATTAACGTACTTTACATCTGGCATTTTGGGACTTTTCAACATCGGTTTAAATCACATTGTAAAACCTTTTCTTAAACTCAAGTCTGTCTACAGTTGAGTTAAAGTGATGCGAGTGTTTACCTGCACGGGGTCGACGGTGTCTCGGACGATACACAGGACGTCAAAACGAGACACGATGGGCTCCGTCAGGTCCACGTTCTCAGAGAAGGTCAGCGAGGGGTCGTACCGTCCGCCTGCAGGGAAACGAGACCACGATTAAAATCATGCACAAAAAACTAAAATTCTTTAAATATTTCTAGATGTGTTAATACTCTTATACACAAACTGTAGCGCCAACAATACAACATAAAACACAGTACAATGGAGCCCTGTCCATGATTAATAGCAAACA